GAGCGCCGCCGCACTCCCAAGCGGCGCACTGTAGCAGTGCGCCACCGGGCCGGCCCTGGGGTTTCTTTTTGAGGTGGTGGAAATGTTCTGTGATTAGATAGTGGTGATTGTTGCACAACAGTGTGAATATACTAAAAAACACTTGATTGTACACTTTAAAATAGTGAGTTTAAAAAAAAAAATAGTGAGTTTTATGTTATGAATTTTATCTCAAATTTTTAAAATGCAAGAAAAAACTAGAAACATGAGCAGAAATATTTAGCGCTCAGAATAATTAGTAAGACAAAGATTACTGGAATAAATAAACATTTTATTTTCAGGAGAAATGTGACTAAATTTTGACAGAAGCCTAAAATTAAACTAAATCAGAAAGTGCAAGTATGCGGAAATGAATGACTTTTACTTTGCCTTTCGTGTCTGTAGTAAGGACATAAGTTGTCATTTCTTCCATTCATTGTTTATTAAAAGCCCAAATGATCCCTGCCTGTTACACTTTCCTCTGTGTAACCGAGACGGAAAAAAGAGAAAGAATTCGCTCAAAGTACCATCAATGAGGCCTGGAGGGACTGCCACCCATCAGGGGAGCAGCAGCCTCTGGAGGGACTGCTGCCCATCAGGGGAGCAGCCCTGATTCAAAATCATCCTTTCTTTTTATTGACAAGACAAGGAAGTTTCACAAGAAAAATCAGTTTAAAACTTGTAACAGCAGTAAATTAACAGTGTGACATTCCAGAATGTAATTTGTAAAAAGTTAGGTCAATTCACCAACAAACTGCTTGTCCTTAGGAAACATTTTCTTTTCTACATACTTCCTATAGCAATTTCCTTAGCATATTTAAACAGCATTCACGCAGTTTCCTTAACATATCTTAAGAACAATCAGTAGGTTAAATAGTCAATAGTCGGGCCGGCCCGGTGGCACACTGGATAAGTGCGCCGCTTCGGAAGCGCGGCGGCGCTCCCGCCCAAGGGTTCGGATCCCACATACAGACCGGTTCCCACTCACTGGCTGAGCGAGGTGTGGGCACAACACCGAGGGTTGCGATCCCGTTGCCGGTCCCGGTCCGGTACGGGGGCAACACTGAGGGTTGCGATCCGTTGCTGGACACGGAAAATGACAAAAGACAAAAATAAATAAATAAATAAATAAATAAATAAATAAATAAATAGTCAATAGTCATTCAAGCCAGAATCAAACCAGCAACCTGAAACAGTCAAAGTACACAATAATCCCATCCCGGAACAGTGATNGCTTCTACATGCTACCCCCCACCCCCATCAGTTCTCAACACAGCTCCTATTCCTAAAATCTTTCAGTTTAAATGTTACCCTCAGAGTGAAAACTCCCACTCTGGAGAAGGCTCTTCGTGATCCGGCCAGTGTTTGCCTCTTTGGCATTATGGCCAACTTCCCTATGTGCATCCTCCACTCTGGTTATGCCCCCCATGTGCAGCTTCAGAGTGCACCGTGATTTCATGCCCTGTGCTTGTCTCTGGTCAAGACGACCAAGGTGTCAGTTACCTCCTCAGGAAGGTGCCTCTATGCTCCTTCCTAACAGCACTACTCACAAGAGCCAGGTAGTGGAAATGACCCAAATGTCCCTCAGCTAATGAGTGGATGAACAAACTGAGGTCTCTGCAGACAAAGGAATGAAAAGGAAGGGAGCACTGACACATGTGACAACATGGATGGACCTCAAAGACATGCCCAGTGACAGAAGCCAGACACAAAGGACCCCATATTGTAGGATTCTGTTTATATGAAATGTCTGGAATAGGCAAAATCTGTAGACAGAAAGTAGATGGGTGGTTACCAAGGGCTGGGGGAGTGGGGTAGACAGTGACTGCCAAAGGTGTGGGGTTTCTTTTTTTTTTTTTTTGTCTTTTTTCGTGTCTGGCAACGGATCGCAACCCTCAGTGT